CCCCAAAACCCCAAAACCCCAAAACCCCTGAAAGCAATAATAAGGTAGAGCTTTGAGTAATTCTAAAAATTATATAATTTATTAAAATGAAAAAACAGAATAAAAAAGACAAACTTATACTAAAACCTCAGAAATCCCTTCAGTCCTCGCCTAATTTGCAATTCGATAATGTAAAGAAGCAAAGTTTCTCACCCTTTATTCAAAGTTCCAACGTCTATGACCTTTTGCCTGAGGAAACGCATGAGGATGAGAAAATGATGGAGAATCATAAGTTGAATAACTTCAGACCTCCTTCAAATAACAATAGCAATAAGTCTACACTTAACTCAATGGGTTTGAACTAATTTATGGAGGGAGAAAATTTGAAAAATTTGGTGGAGATGAAGTGAAGAAGTTTGTCTGAGGGACTAAGTACAAAAGAGGAAGACACTGATGAGCGTGACGATGATGACGTATTATCAGATAAACATCACGACCTTAATAACTATTCCGATTAACTTTCGAAAGATAATCACCATGTTATTAATGGATAGAATGAAAACGAAACTTAAATTCTAATAACCAAGAAAAAAGACCAGTAAATCTAATTTAATGGTGAAAAACACTTATCTGATGATATGCAAGATGAATTCATGTCTTTGGATCCATCGCAATCATAAGAAAAATCTTAAAAGCATATCTTGAAGGATATTGCATTCATGATGATACAAGGAGATTACAAACAAGCACTACAGAATCTTTAAAAGCTGCAGAATCCTTCTAATGAAGTGAATTTCTTGCAAATAACTTGCCACATCAAGCTTAAGAATTATCACAGAGCTATTCAAATGCTTAATGATTTAAAGAGAAACCAACTAAATCGAAAGATAAAGCTAAAGGCAATACAATTACGAATGCAAGTTTTTAGAAAGTTAGCTAAGTATGATGAAAGTTTAAATGACGCAAGGTGTCTGTAGGCACTTATGGATCATCGTTAGCTTATTCAAAATGAAGATTTGAAACATCAAATTAAAGAACTGAAGGTAAATTTAAATATCCTAACTCATCCTCATAATAGATATTAAGTGAGCATTATGAAAATAAGAAAAAGAGTATCTATATTAGAGCTCTTGAGGCTATATTACATTTTATGAAACACAATAAGAATTTAATGATACTTATCGTCGGGCTACTACTAGCTTATCTTTGTAGAACTCAATTCTCTAATGTATTCTGGTACGTCAAGAACTTTCAGCAAACAATTAGTTAACTTAAAATATTAAACGCTTGATCAAGGCCTAATGTTGTTATAAATTTTATCTCTAGTATTAAAATTAATTTTAAGCACAATAAATACTCATTAGCTCATATTCTTATCACTTGGGGTTTTGGGGTTTTGGGGTTTTGGGGTTTTGGGG